ATTCCTGGCGGGCTGCCTGAGGTCGGAGGCAGTCGGCACAGCTGGGACCCCGGGCCACTGCTGAGGGCCAGGAGCAGCGGCACACCACATACCGGGAATGGGGCCCTCCTGCCTGGGAGCGGGTCTCAGACAGGATGGAGGCCGGCAGCTCAAGTCAGCTCGGGCCGGCGAGGCCGGCAGAGCCACAGGAGGCCCGTGCAAGGCAGGGCAAGACCCCAGGGGCGAGGCGGGAGCTCGGTGGCCCCTGAGATGAGGAGCTGCTGGACCTCGGCTGGTCCTTCCCCGCTGCACTGCGGCCCCAGGACGCCTCAGCACCAGGGACTATAGGACCGCAGGCCGGTCCCCAGGGCTGTTCTCAGAAACTGGCCGGGACAGTCTCTGCTGTTCCCAGCACCGGGGTTCTGCGAATTGGCCTCCACCCTGAGCCGAGCTGACTTGGTGAACGCGCTAGCGGCCCCGGCAGCTCCCGGGTCACACGAGGTGCCAGTCCACGACTCGCTGACGACATTGGTGCTGTGAGCCAGCAGGTGGGAGAGCCGCAGAGCTCAGGCGGCCTCCCGGGGAGATGCTGGACACGGAGCATGCAGGACAGCAGGTGCCGCAGCACAGCCACGAGGACGGAGCCAGGCCAGAGCGCCGCCACACCCGCATGCACACTTGTGCACGGCTTGCACGGCCGCCTCCCTGCTGTTTGCCACCCAAATAACAGAGCGACAGTCCGTGTCACTGCGAACATCGGCCTGCCCGGCCTCCCGCTGCGGGCCCCGAGTGTGTTGGAGAGTCTGTCTCAGGCCTCGAGAGCACCTCGATCTCTGTCTTGGAATAACATCTTCCCCATGTCTGCAAATAAACAGGAGCGTCTGGAACCGACCCGCAAGTGACGTGGCCCTGTCGCCTTTCTGGCAGGTTGACGCGAGGACCGAGCAAGTTACAGTCTAGAGCACCCTGAGAGCACGCCTGGGTGACGGAGCGCTGCACTGTGTCCTTGAGTGTCCCCTGGTTTCCGCCCTCACCCTGACAGTCAGACCGAGACGTTTCTCCAGGGCGGGCCCAGAACTCCTCCCAGTGCACACGCCCAGGCGATGTCCCGGTCTCTGCGTGAGCATCTTACCTGCAGGCGGCTTCAGAGGGTGAGCTCGTGGGCCCAGGGCGGACTGCGGGGCCTTCTCGGTGCTCACGTGCAGGCCTGCAACACTCAGCCGCGGAGGGAACCGAGGGCCGCTGTGTTCAGCCATGCTGCAGAGGTGGACTAGCAAGCCACACACACAGTTATGGAAGTACAAGACGGGCCAGCAGGTGGCGTGGAGGTTAAGGCACTGGGTCCCACCTGGCTGACTGCGTGGTTTGAGTCCGGAACATGCCCCGTTGAAAATCACTCCAGGTGCCTGTGCGTGCCCCAAATCCCAAGAAGATACTGGGGAAAAGGGACTGCAGTGTGGCCATCCCCTCCGGGGACTGAACCCTCCCTGTCCCTCTTTCTCTCTGATGAGCATGCTCACTGAATAGCAAAAAACAAAAGCTCAAACAAACAAATGACGAGACTCAGAAGCCGTAATGGAAACAATAGATACAGTCGACGCGGAATTTGAAACTCCTCTTTGAAAACAGACACGTGGTAAAATCGGAAGGGAAGCGTTAGAGACGGAGCTAGCTGTCGGCCGTCCGGGTGTCTGGAACACCAAGTTCCGCCGAGCAGACTAGCGAGTAAAAGGGAAAGTCCCGGTAGAAAACGGGCAACAGGTAAAACTAGTGCCTTACGGAGAACGGCGTGCGAGCGGCCAGGAGGCACGGGGAAGGCCCCGGCTCATCAATGCTCTGAAAAATGAAAACACAACATCCCCTGTCCGTGCCGGTTCGACTGAAAGGGGAGACGGCACGTCCGTGCTGACGTGCCTTAGCGGTTACCTGGAGGAGGGCAGAGCAGTGTGGGTGCTGGAGGTGCGGTGGGAGCTGCCTTACCAAGCACGGACACCCCGGCGGAGGGAGATTGGCAAGGCAGCCGCACACGCGTTACGGGAGGACGAGACGCAGCAGGTGGCCTGGAGGGCACGGGGTCTCACATGGCCTGTGGCACGGCTTGAGCCCGGACCCAACAGCTCGAAAGTCATGCCAGGTATGTATGTGTACCCAGATCCCGAGAGGGGACTGGGGGAAAGGGACTGTGGGCGTGGAGGAGAGGGTGCACCAGGCCCTCGAGTCCCTGCGATGCCAGGCTGGGTGGGGTGCAGGGTCAAGACCCTGCTGGGTGCTATCTCTTGGTTTGTCTGTCTTTCTCATGGAGAAAGCAAATGAACTTGAAGGAGAATGGGGGGGGGGAGAAGGAGAAGAGGAAGGAAAAGAAGAAAAGGAGAAGAAAAGACTACCTTCTATCCCTGGCTGGCCTGGGGCTGTAGGCCCCACCAACCGCCTTGCTCTGGCCTCCCCCCACGCTCTGCCCTCAGTGCACAGCAGCCAGAAGGATCCAGTTAGACCTGTGTGATCAAGTCCCCCCTCTGCTCAGAACCTCCCAGGGCACCCTGCTTCCCTCAGAGGAAGAGCAAAGGCCTCTGAAAGTCCTGTTAGAGCTGTCTGCTCCCCAGTCCTGCAACATCCCAGCCAGCACGCTCAGCCCGAGCCTGCTCTGGGC